CCCGCGCAGGGACTTCTCCCTGTCTGGTCAGGCGTCTTCCCTCCGACCTGTCTGTATCCTAATCTCCCTGTGTGACAGCAGTCATCGGATTGGGGTCTACTCCCATGACCTCATTTAACATTAATTCTTGAAAGACCTTGTCTCCAAATACAGCCCTGTTCTGAGGTGCTGGGGGTTAGGACCGCAACGAATGAATTTAGGGAGTGTGGGGACAAATCCGGCCCGCAACACCGTCAACTTATGCTAAACTATACAGACTGACTGAAGATTTTTAAATGAATGTTTCATTGTGTTAAGGCGCGAAAACACCGAGGAATGAGAGACAGCACCCGTCAGATTTGATTTATGCTCTTCACTGTCTATTTCCCATCGTTTTCTTTAAAACTGAGGTAATTGACATATGACATAGTAGTTTCAGGTGCCCAACATAATGATTCAATATTTTACATATTGTGAGATGATCAAGATAAATGGTTAACCTCAGTCCCCATACATAGTTACAATTTTTTTTTTCTTGTAAGAGGACCTTTAAGATTTACTCTCTTAGCAACTTTTAAATATGCAACACAGTATTAACTGCAGTCACCATGCTACACATGACATCCCGTGACATTTCTTTTATACCTGGAAGTTTGTACCTACTGACCCCTTTCATCTACTTCTCTCCACCACCCCCACCCCAGCCCCATAACACACAACCGCCAGTCTGTACTGAGTTTGCTTTTCAACTTTTCTGTATTAACTGCAGTCACCATGCTACACATGACATCCCCGTGACATTTCTTTTATACCTGGAAGTTTGTGCCTGCTGACCCCTTTCATCTACTTCTCTCCCCCACCCCCATAACACACAACCGCCAGTCTGTACTGAGTTTGCTTTTCAACTTTTCTGTAAGCCTGAAACTATTTTAAAAATAAAGCAATTACAAAAGCACTCATAACTTTGCAGTCTATTATATTTTTGTTTTAAGACAAGCGGTGCTTTAATGATGCTTTCTATCTACTGTCAGTGTGAAATTTGTGGCTAAGATGGCAATTTTTGCAGATTTGAGCTCAAACCTAATGAATTTAGCCACTGTCAAGCCAAATGTCTGAGACTTTGACTACTCAGGAGAGTTAGAAGAATTAGAATAGATAGAAGAATTAAAAATTGATTGTAAATAAAGGCTGGCTTAAGGGTTTTAAGCGGAGGATGCAAGGTCAAGCTAATGTTAGAACAGGTTAAATGGTGGCTGGACAACATTTCTGCATTTGATACACGAACTGAAATCGTTTGTTATAGAATGCTTATTCTTCACCTGCTGCTTCTCCCTACTCTGTTTGCCTTTTCCTTTTGCGGTGCTAGTGTAGAAACTATAGAGATCGTCAGGGAAATAAAATGAACATAACTGCATATCTCTCCTATGAATGTTGAGTGAGAGAAAATATAGTCGCGAAGTGGCCTGTGGGCTTTTTTCATCTTAAAATGCTTCGGGAACCTAAGCTTGCAGTTGGTGCGCGCCAGCAATGTGCTACTGCTGCCAAGAAAGTTGAAATCAGAGTGTAGCACCTACAAGAGGAGATGAGGGTTTTCCCCTGTTTGTCCCGGAATATTCTTTTTCGTTCTGACCACTGTTCCATTGTTAAACACAAGACTCCAGCAAAGGATTATTGAGCAGACATTGCCCTTGCCTCAAAACTACAGTGGAATTGAGTAACTTATAGTCAGTGAGATCAGCATTTTTCCACGTAATTCAGAGCTCAGATCATTGGAGTTAGCTTTGGTTTCTCCCTGTCCTCCATTTTCAGTTTTTCAGTGTATTTCTGTGTTAGTCAATGTGTTAATTATCTCTTGCAGTGTATCAGGTTAGCCGAAAGCATAGTGGACGAAAACATCAAGCACTTACTATCTCGCATACTTTTCGTGGGTCGGGAATCCAAGAGCAGCCTGACTGTCTCTGTGTCTCATGAGGTTGCAGTCAGGATGATGACAGGGTCTGTGGGATCCTCTTCCAGGGAGGCTCACTCAGAGCCGGGCGAGTTAACGCTAGCTGCTGGCGGGAGGCCTGCTCGTCAGCACGCGGATCTGCGCCGGCCTGCTCCAGTGTCCTCCTGGTGTGGCAGCTGGCTTCCCCCAGCGTGAGCGATCCAAGAGAGGGAGTCCGCATGCTGTTCACGACCTAGTCCTGTCAGAAGTGAGTTATTAATTCCAGCTCACACAAAAGGGAAGGAACTTAACCTCCATCCCTTAAAGAGGGAGCTAGAAGAATGTGTCGACACAAGTTAAAACGGCCACAGTCAGAATGGCTGAGGTTGTGTTGCAGTTACGAACTATCCAAACTCTTTGTGGCTTAAAACAACAAAGGTCTTGTCCAGTTTAGAGACTCAGGCTAATGAGGCCGTCCCCATCTGTAATGTTTCTGGGCAACATGCAGGGAGAAGGGAAGGTAGAGAGTCACACGTGTTCCTAAAGACATCCATTCTGAAGCGACACCTGTCACCTTGCCTCATATTTCATAATCCAGAAAGCAAGTTGCATGGCCACACCTAACTTCAAAAAGGTGGGGAGACGGAACCTGACTTTGTACTTAGGAGGAGGAGAATCAGAAACATCAGTGAACAGCAGTAAGGATTTCTGAAAAGTGAAAAACATTCTCACTTTTTTTTACAATTATTTGTACATTTACCTTTTCCTTATTGTCACGCTAATCTAAGATAATATGTCTGACCCGTCTCCCTGCTTTTCTAATTCCCCCTTTCCAATCAACTGAGTATATTTCTGAAAGATTAAATTTCCTGACATACCATTTTCTCTATGTTAGTCACATGCTATAGTCAGTATAGTGGCTTCCCAACTGATTATCAAGGTCAGATTTTAATCCTTGGACAACACACAATGTGCGTTACACTCGCGTGCTCCTTCCCATGTTATTTATGTTCAGGCTGTTTCATAGCATAGACCATGCTTCTGACTCTTCCCACGCGTCCAAGACCCATCTCAGTTATTTGTAGTTAACAGGAAACTTGTCTTCTAGAAAATCAGTGTATTGTTTTCTTGTCTTTCTTGCCATCTTTAATCTTTATTCTTTGTGTCTTATGTTTTAAAAGAAAATCGTTCATTAGTAAATGTTTAATGAGTTCCTACTATATGCCAGACCCCGTTCTAGGTGCCGGGGCGAGAGCAGCAAACAAAACAGACTGCGTTCCATACAGAGCTTATATTTTAGTGTCAGAAAACAGACATTAATGAGAATATTAGAGTTCTAGCAGATGAGCAGAACTGCTAGTAGATTGTGTGTGTGTGTGTGTGTGTGTGTGTGTGTGTGTGTGTGTGTCAGAGCCCAGTTGTCAGGTGGAG